GGGGATACTCAGATAATAACATACCTGCCTTATGCCCCGGAATAGCGCAAACGTCAAAACACGATTCTTTTTTCAACCTGCACTCCCCCGGGGCGAGGGAGGTGGTTAAAAATGACTGGTGTATTACAAAAATGCAGATAGGTCCTTATAATCCCACTGGTTTAGAAAAATGCTTAAAGCTGTAAAGGATTTTTATGAAACTTAGCTCAATTGTTTAGTACATCCAGATAATGTGCAGAACTTATATGGCAGGTGTGCCGGCTCAAGGTCGGGGTCACACATACAGGTCAAAGAATTATGACTTGGGTTTCATGCCCGCTCCTTATCTCCTAAACTCCATGAGGGATTTTCATGCACCTTGAGTAAACGTTAACCACATCGAGACCATATGCAGAACCTTTCTTTGCGTCACCGCGGACTATATATATTTATTTATATATATTTATACTAAAAACTGTTTGTTATTTTTTATGCCTCCAAAAACGAAAATTTTGGCATTTGCATGGCGTTTGCAAATGGGGTACTGTAATTTACAGATGGCGAAGCGTTTGAAAATGGTGTTTTACAAATGGTGTAACTATCCAAACCTCTAATTTGCAAATGGCGTCATGTAAAATATGTACGAAAAACAAAAATAAAATATGTACGAAAAACTAAAATAAAATATGTTTGCAAAACTTAAATAAAATATGTATGCAAAACTAAAATAAAATATTTTTGCAAAACTAAAATAAAATATGTATGCAAAACTAAAAAAATATGTATGCAAAACTAAAAAAATATGTATTCAAAACTAAAATAAAATATGTATGCAAAACTAAAAAAAAATATGTATGGAAAACAAAAAGCAAAAATGTACGAAAAAAAAAAGTATAAAAAAAATAAGAAATGAAAAGGTCATTTTAATGCCACCGTTCATACGCTTTGCAATGTGTTGTTCAGCTACGTACACATTTTCAAGGTTATTAGTACGAATCATTTCTAATGGGCGACGAATGTTCAAACACACAACCACAATTGTTACGGAAGCTTGCTTGATAACTTTCTCACATAAAAGTGTCAAAAGTTGCTCGCAGGATCCGAACCAACAGCGGTGATGTCATCGACCTTATTACGGGGGAGGAAGTGTTACATTAGGGATGGAGTTCTTATGATAACTTGTTAACCGGAGCTCTTGTGATAACTGTCACGGAGTTCGTCGGAAAACTATTGTATATACCGCAAAACACTCGTCAAAAATGGTATTTTCATCTTTAAAAAGTGAGTTTTAGGTGCTTAATAAAACTTTAATGATTAAGCTTGCCTTACATATTGTATTATATGTCAAAAACTAATTTATAGTCCATTTTTCATTCCCTCTTGCTTAAAATCTTGTAGTTTTGAGTCAAATTTCCAAATTATTTGCCAAATGGTAAGTATTGACCTGAATATTTCAAGTCTTCATCTTTGCCATACATAATTACCTAATTATAATGCAAAATTGCAAACATAAAGCCCCAGCTGACAAATGTATACCCGATTTTTTTCAAATGTCCCGGAGTTCTTGTGATTACTCAAAATATGTCCTGGAGTTCTTATGATAACTTTTGTTACTGCCAATGTGTTTCTTGTGCTAAATCACAGCACTTTTAGCGGTTTTTATTATTCAATAAGGTTGTAAATCATTATGAAATGTAGTACGCTCATTTTCTGCACAACAATTAGAATATATAATGTTGGTTTTGAGTGTATTTTAGTTGAAGAGATGATATTGAGATATTACTACTAGTAGTTCTGATCCCTCGATTCATTTTTATGGTAATTTTGCTGACGCAGATTTCGTAGACTGGAAAAAGGATTGATGTAGAGCATTGACTTTCATGATAAAATGCCCTCAAGTATGGTGTCTTCATGTATATTTTTCTGCCGATGTTTGATGGGTATTTCCCCTATGTAATCTTAGTGGAGGAAACTCTGTTAATTTTGCTGTAATTGATAACAAAAATATATTTTAGTCAAACTTATTTCGCTCGAACCCGGAGGGACTTGCAAATTTGTTCGAGAGATCGGTAGTTATAGAGCCAACCGCAGTTGAGTTTTTATTATATTGTCGTACTTTTTGGAAACATAGGTTTGAAGAAATTATCCTGGTTTTATACATGTACTTGTTTATTATGGTATAAAATGATACAAATTACTTAGCCCTTAGATAAGCGATGAACAACTATATATTAACTGCTTAAGAAAGATGGTTGAGAACAACGTGTAAGTTTTGAGACATTTTTTGTGTTTTAGGCAATGATACTGCCGCTGATTCAATCTTTACTGTAGATGATAACCTATCACCTGTTTATCCTTTGCAGACACTCAAGACCAACCTTTTATCCACATTGCAAAGGATGACGTATTATATTTCATGAGTATTTATAACCTTATTGAATAATAAAAACGCTAAAACGTGCCGTGATTTAGCACAAGAAACGCATTGGCGGTAACCAAAGTTATCATAAGAACTCCAGGACATATTTTGAGTTATCACAAGAACTCCTGGACGTTTGAAAAAAATCGGGTATAAATTTGTCAGCCGGGGCTTTATGTTTACAATTTTGCATTATAATTAGGTAATTATGTTTGGCAAGGATGAAGACTTGAAATAAACAGGTCAATACTTGCGAATTGGCAAATAATTTGAAAATTTGACTAAAAACTACCAGATTTTAAGCAAGAGGCGATGAAGAATGGACTGTGAATTAGTTTTTGACATATAATACAATACGTAAGGCAAGCTTAATCATTAAAGTTTAATTAAGCACCTCAAACTCACTTTTTAAAGATGAAAATTACCATTTTTGACGATTGTTTTGCAGTATATACAATAGATTTCCGACGAACTCCGTGACAGTTATCACAAGAGCTCCGGTTGACAAGTTACCATAAGAACTCCATCCCTCGTGTAACACTTCTTCCTCCGTGCTAAACACACTTGGCCACCTAAGCCCCCAAATCGGTGACAAATATCATGCTCAGTCAGCCTAATCTTTATATATTTTGGGCAGTTTGTATAATTCAAACAAACCAAAAAGGAAGTGACGTAACGACATTGATCGATGCCCGTCGTGTCGTTGTATGTCGTGTTTACTCTGTAAGGTCAATATAATCCTTACATATATTTCACAGATTTTCGATTGTCTTTCTGTATTTCCAAAAGGTTAATCGAAAAACTGGTTGTGTACCCAGTTCTTTGTATTTGGTCCGTATTCTTGTCAGTTTATATATTTTAGGCAGTTTATATTGTATATCCTTATCATTTGTATACCATTATTATTATCATTGTTTTTATCTATTAAAATTATTGTTATTATTATTATTATTAATATTATTATTTTTTTTATTACTTTTATTATCATTATTATTATTATTATTATTATTATTATTATTACTATTATTATTATTATTACATATCTTTCAGTTATTGGACAATCGCCATTTTTACGGTTGATATTTTGAAAAATATAGCTAATTCACCTCAACTTTGCAACAACAAAAATGTAACTTTTACACATTATGGGTGTCCGTAATGCCCCGGTCACATATTCACAGATAATGCCACGTCAGAGCTACGGTCTATTCGTTAACGGATTACTACGGAAATGTAAAATTCCGTAGTCCGCTACGGTTCCAGTACGGAGTTAGAGGGATTTACCATCAAAAGCCCCGGTAGAGACACGGATTGTTACGGACCGACACGGTTTGATACGGAGCGACACGAATCAGGACGGACGCACTACGGATACACTACGTTCTGCTACGGTATAAGCACGGGTTAGTACGAATAAATACGGTCTGATACAGAAAAGAACGAATTGATAAGGAGAAGAACGAATTACCACGGATCTATACGACCTAATATATCCGCCCACAACCTCTTGCATGCTCATTTTCAAAATGCCTCATAGAAAACGAATTGTAGAGTTTAATGATTTGGGCGGAAAGGATTCGGCCTCATCGCGTCCGACCCCCGAGACATATCAGGTCCGATAAAAGTGAATATCTTGAAGGACGCCGGATCCCCAACAAGTTCGCCCATGAGAGCCTCATACTAAACATGAAGAGGCCTTCGTAAAAAAAGCCTATCTGTAGTCCACCATCTTCTCTGCCTTCTCTTACCTGAGTTGATATGGACTAGTAATCATTAATGAAAAATGTTGATCAATACTGCTTCTCTTTTGATTTTAAAATTTGCTGTTTATTTTACAATTACATAAATTATCGTGAATGTTTATGTTTTAAAAATATGTAAAAAAACTTGTTAATCAATCTTATTATTACTCAAGGGCCAGCGTCCGAGGCTTATGGGACACTTCGTTTTATGTACGTATTTACTCCAATTTCACGATCCAATGTTTGTAAAATATGTAACATTAATTTTTATTCTATTACTTATGAATTGTTGTACGATATCAATCTTTTTTACCTCTATGCATGTCATCAAGCAGCTCGACCACTGCCTCCGCATTCTGAGCCATTTCAATATAAACCTGCAGCCAGTAAATGGCAATTATCATTTATTGAATGTTCACGCAAATATGTCTGTTTTTAACAAGAAGGTAGTATTTATGCCCTTAAAAAGTACATGATACTTTATTTAATCGTACTAAACAGTGGTGGACCGTACCATTCCTTACCGTTTCGTTTTGCAACGCAATTCACCGTGTAAGACCGTGCTATTCCCTGCCTCTCCTTAGTACAACGTATTCCGATCGTGGCTTTCCGTGACAATGCCGTATTAAATCCGTATTAAAACCGTAGCTTATACGTAGGGGCTTTCGGTACAAATACGTAGTTCTCGGTACCAAACCGTCGGAATCCTTGATAAGTTTGGGCCTACGTATCAGTACGGACTAGTACGGTTTTCGTACGGACCACAGTGTGGTCTTAAATCGGAGGTTGTCTCTAACAATGGTTTGACTTATCCCAATTCTGGAAAACCACTCGCATAGCGTATTTAAATAAAATCTTACTTGTTTTCATCCGGTTATAACGTCTCCTCTCTAAAAACCTCTGAAAAATGTTTCCATTCTTCTGTCTGTCCTGCCTTGTTTCATCTGAAGAATGATTGAAACATAAAAACTGTAATCAAATCAGTTCTAAGAATTATGATACACACTGTCCAAGAATTGAACCATTGAAATTGAAAGTGTGCTTTTTTAAAGAGCCGGGTTTTTTTCCAGGATTTTGGGAACATCACCCATACCCATGGAATTAGGAATTTCATCGATGTGTTGTTGAACAGTAGAAAACAAAGCATGACATAATACTGTTTACTTAATAATTTATACATTTTTCAATTGAGAATATGACCGAATATCGGCTATAAAATAAGCAAAAAAAGTAACCATAAAAGTGTGATGCGTGATAACAGTAACCATAAAAGTGTGCTGTATGATAACAGTAACCATAAAAGTTTGCTGTACAATAACAATGACCATAAATGTGCTGTATGATAACGGTTGTAATAAAAGTGTGCTGTATGATAACATTTACCATAAAAATGTGTTGTATGATAACATTGACCATAAAAGTATGAAGTATGCTTACGGTTACCACAAAAGTGTGCTGTATTATAACAGTTTATGTTACCATTAAAGTGTGTTGTATGATAACAGTTACCATTAAAGTGTGTTGTATGATAACAGTTACCATAAACGTGTGTTGTATGATAACAGTAACCATAAATGTGTGATATATGATGTGTGATAACAGTGACGGAAGTAGTGTGTTGTATGATAACAATGACCATAAAAGTGTGCTTTATGATAACAGTGACCATTAATGTAAGCTGTATGATAACAGTGACAATAAAAATGCGATGTATGATAACAGTGACCATAAAAGTGTGCTATATGATAACAGTGACAATAAAAGTGTGATGTATGATAACAGTGACCATAAAAGTGTGTTGTATGATAACAGTGACCATAAAACTGTGTTGTATGATAACAATGACAATAAAAGTGTGATGTATGATAAAAGTGACCATAAAGTGTGCTGTATGATAACAGTTACAATAGTAACAGTAGTACAGTAACTGTTTAAGTGTGTCGTTGATATAGAACAGTTACCATTATGGTGTGCTATATGTAACAGTTATCACCTAAGTGTGCAATATATTAATAGTGACCACTTAAATACTCCGAAATAACAGTCGAAGAGGTATTTCGTTCTGTTTAAAAAATGAGAGCTTGGAAAAGCAGAGGAGACGACAAGCTTATTCTAGGGGTTTCGTCAGTAGTATTGATAAAACTTCATTGTTATCAAGCTTGTTCAATAGACTTTGAACACGGAGAATGTTTGACAGGATAATAGACCATTCTTAATATTATACAGCTATTTTTAGAAAATGAACCAGAACGAGGCTTAACTGGCAAGCTGATAAGCCAGTATGAGCTGTGCATATAGTGAAATTGACTTATCTTTTGTTCCTGACATTAATTTCTCATTTGCAGAGTTATGTATTAAACAAATCAAGGTTTATCACGACAGAAATCACTCTATAAAAAATTCAATTATATTTGTGAGGTATCCATTTATGAAGAGGAGAGATATTTTACTTTCGGTTTCAATTTTGCTGTCGTTAACATATTTCCTAACATAATATAAGCTTCATATATTAATCTGCGGTGCCTTGTTTTATATAATCTTATTTGTTCTGTTAATTTACGTATTTTTGATGCCAACATAAAGGTAATTGCAAATTGAATCTCACAGATAACCCCTAATGACCTGTGAAAAATCTTTATCAGATGTGTATTGGGCAGATTTTATCAAAGATGTATTGACTCAGTTATAAAGATATTTTACCATAGTATCTGAAATAAACTAATACCTAGCCAAACTCTGTGTATACATTTACTTTATGAATTGTAATTTGTACTTCCAGTCCAGAACTACCAGCAGATAATGGTTACTCAATATATGGCAAATGCCATAGATAACAGAGAAAGAAAGAATTTTATTATTTATTTCAAAAATTTTGATAAAGACTAAACTTTAATACTTCCTTATGATATTGTTTTTATTGTTATCCTTTTATTTATTAAAATACCAATAAATATACATGATAAGATTAACAATATATTACATAAGACAGACTATTACATTTTATCAATGATTACACTACGGGCCGATTAATTTAGCTAGTATACACGCTACTGTCCATAACTGGTTGACAGATCCAACAAGAGATAATGAAATAGGTGCATCAAACAGAAGATACTCTTTACTTCCTTTGGTTTGGCTACTTGCTCAGTCTCTCTCACTTCTTCTAGTGTAAGTTTGCCTTTTTTTACAAATGCTGGAATATTCAATGACTTTTCCTTTTTTGAAAGTATCTTCCTTAATGTAAACCCTTAGTGATCCATCACATCATCACCATTTTCAAAAGGTTCAAGGAGATCTCTTGACATCTGACGGACATACGGTATATAATGGTCGCACAAATATTATGATAATATGGGGCTACAATGAGCATTTTCTTTGGTGAAAGAATTTTTCTTTTAAGTGGCCTTTTTGGAGTTGTTTGTTTAACCCAATTAAACATTGATGTAATAGAATTATTTTTTTCAGTCTCTTTCTAAGTAGAATCCAGTTGTAATCCTCAGTTTGGAATGTTTTGGACACACCATAGTAGAATCAGTTACCTAAAAATATACAACATATATTTATAATTAGGAATGATATGATATCTAGAAGTCAGCTTCAATCCTGTATTTGTAACATAAATTTAAACTTGTAACAATTTAAAGTAAAGTTTCAATTGATATAACTGTTAGATTAAAAGCAAGCCCACTCTCCCACTATTTTATTCTAAATTTAAAAAAAACTGTATTTTTACAAAAATATTATTCTGTTCATATGCTGGTCAGAGTTTACAAAATATTATTTTTAGATGCTTACCTTAAACAATGGCCCTTTATCCTTTCTTATCCCATAAAGTTAGTTATCCATTGTTTTTTTTTTTTTAAATAATGGTAAATAGAATTGCACATAGGGATAGTTAGAACTTTTTTATTAACACCCTACATCGGGGCTATATAGTGAGATAAGAGTGGTCAGTGTGTTTACATTCATGCCACTTAGACCTCGTTCTGGTTCTGGAATTCCAGGTATGCATATTATTTGAGAAGGGTCTATTAAAGAGTGATATGACGGTTAGGACCACTATTATGGTATAAAATCTTTATTATATTGGAAAAAATATCACTGTCGCTGTAACGCAGTTGGTAACGTTTTATTTTATGTTTTTCAGTTTATTTACTGATTTATCCGTACAAATTATATTTGATAATTTCACAGTGAAAATTATCAAAATATAATTTCACACTTTTCAATGACGAAACTACTTTTTTCAGGTTTTCCCCATGTGGCACCTCAATTTCATTTTTGCTGATAATTTTGACAATGTCAGGCTGTTTAGAGAAAAGCAAAGCTGAAATTGATGAATAACTTAACCACTTCTATTCATCCAAATTACCAATCACCAAATATCGTCTCTTAATTTTTTGTTTCATTTTTACAGTCTGAAAAATAATTCCTTCCACATGCAAAACTGTTTTTGATGACATTTGGGCATATTAAAGTATCCTATGAGCAATTACCGCCGTATGCTTTATGAAAACTTGAAAAGCAATGACAGCAATCAGCCCGAAGAATAAGTAAACAACCCAGCGTTCGTTAGGCAGCCTTTCATCAAATCCAAGTTTCCAATTTCCTAGTCGTTTTTTTTAATGTTTACACATCTGTCAACACTTATATATTGTCTGTTACAATCCTCAAATAAGTTTTCTTTCTTTTAAAAAGGTGTATGACTAACAAATCCAAATGAAATCCCTCTGAATCAAACGCAATTATTTTCTTCCCGTGAAATACACAACTTTTAAAAATGGCAGTCGCTTACATTTAACAGAGCCAGGTCTAATATAAATTCGTAGTAAGTAACAGAAATATGGATGTATGGTTGGACTTTTTCTCCTACTAGAATTGTTTGTTTTTATTATTAAAACAAGCGATAATTCATATTTTTTTTAATAAAATGAATCATATCACCGCCATTTAGCGTTGATTATCGAAATTATTTTTCAGCCCAAGACTTCTTGTATTTTATGAGAAATTCGACTTATACATGTACATAATAGAGGCTACCAGTGGGGAAAACAGATTTTAATATTTAAGTTAATATTGAGGAAATTTCGTTTTAAATTATTTTAAGCATAAAACAAAAAGAAAATTTGTTTGTTTTTTGTGTAAGATGTAATTTTATTTCATCTCGTGAACTTTTAAACAGTATTGTCACTCGGCTACACCACTCGTGAGAATACTGTTTTTAAAGCTCACTCGATGAAATAAAATTTCATCTTACACAAAAACAAACAAATATCCTGTATATCATTTAACTTTTAGTGAAAATAAAACCTTCCATGCTCTAAAGTTTCGCAAATTGACAATTTGATAAATAAATTACACATTGCAGCGATTTTAGATCAGTTGGCCGAATGCACTTTGCAGTATTACCATTTTATATTTAAAGTAAACTCCGCTTATAACGAACTCATTGGGACATTCAAAATTAATTCATTATAACCGGAGTTCCCTGTAAGCATATCGCGAATAAGTCCCTTGTATCAGGAGTTTTTATAGCGAACAGATTTACGTATAACGAACTGTTTTTCATCGTCCGCCATTTTGAAGAGCATTTGATTAAGACAAATAAGTCATTTATTTCTTTTTTAAAACACAATGCCCGAGGGCGTACTTTTTTGAATTTGAAAATCATTTGTTATTTAAGTTTTAGTTGTACTCCCTTACACATTTTCTCATAAAATATCATATTTTGTTTTTAAACTCAGTGCTTTTCGTTTTCTTACCATGATTAAGAATAAACAAGATTTTCGATATTTCCTTCCTTTTATATTGAATATTTAATGGTGACTTTTACTTATGAAAGATATAGATTTCTTTTTATTTCAATCAAACGTACTTTGTAGTTTTTCAATGGATCAGCAAGAAATAGCATGCGTGATTATGTTGTAAACCGAGTATAAGCGAGCAA